AACTCCAGTATCCCACATGGAACTGTCCCAAATGAATTGTCTGACCTTGAACAATTCTCTCCAAGTGCTGGGTTTCTTCATCATACAGATGAACCCTGTCAGGTAAAATCTGTGATTGACACTGAAGAACATTACGCAGACAGGAAGCAAACCATAAAAGTATCAGTGGAATATTGGTGAAATCTAAAGAGCATTCCTGACCATGTCTTCTCTGACATGGGCATTATTGAAATAAAGTAGATTGAAGACAATGGCCGTCTAATGCTTGACCCTTCCTGCTTTTACAGAGTTCAAGGCCTTCCCAATAGCTCCCCCTCCCCCCTTGCTTCCTGTCACATAAAACACCTCAGAGACTTAAGAACTTAAGGTACTCAAAACCTAAGTAAATTTCACAATGAGTTTGACAAGAAAGCATTAACATAAAATAGACGCAAATCTAATAACTCCCTCATTAGAAAGTCTTTTCTATAAATGCAGAACCACAGACCCACAGGAGTTCAGATCAACCTCAAATGAGACTCCTGTTCAGAAGGAGAATGATAATTCACCTGGAGTCACAAGACCAACGGAGGAATCACACATATAATCCTCACTGCTACAGGTTAAAGTGTGGTAGTTTAAGAGTAAGAAAAAGGCAAAGGGCCAGGCATTTGAGAAATGCAGCAAGGAACATTTCTACCATTCCCTGCAGTAGGTTCGAAAGGTCTCAGATCAATAATATGATATAGTAGCATGATCACAGGATAGATACAAAAAAAATAGGCGGTGATTGATGACGAAGTATAATTTTGCACACAGAGAACAAGTCCAAATAATCACTGCCTAAAAGCACTTCTCTATTTCTGATTTACTCTTCAAATGATTAAATATATATTAAAGAAAGAAACCTTAAAATGCTCTTAATGAACTGGAAACAAAGAAGTAAATCTACCATTTGAAATTAATCATGACATTTATAAAAGAACCACAAGCACTTTGAAATGAAAGGTAGAAAGCTGAGCTAAATTATATATTTGTATAGCTATCAAATTTTAATACTAAAAATTTCAAAGTGCCTTTGATGGCCCAAGTTCACACATCTTATTTGGAAGCCAATGGTGAGTTCTGCTGCCAAGTGGCTTATTCCCATTCAAAAGAGTGGGAATAAGGACAGAGAGATATTTTAGCATTCAAATTCATATTAAAGTAATGACATAGCAATGAAACACTTTAGAACTTCAGGGAGCTGTTTTTTCTTAAAGTAGGTATGTAACAATAAGAAAAGGAAATGCATTTTTAAAACTGAATATAATAAAGGGCTTCAACAATACCAAAGCAAACTATCTTCTTTTTATTCCTTTTTTTTTTTTTTTTTTTTTTTTTGGGGGGGGGGGTTAAGGGTGATGTGGGGGGTGTATTAAGGATTGAACCCAGAAGTGCTAATCTACTGAGCTACATTCCCCAGCCCTTTTTATTTTTTATATTGAGACAGGGTCTCGCCAAGTTGCTTAGGGCCTTGCTAAGTTGCAGAGGCTGGCTTTGAACTTGTGATCTTCCTGTCTTAAGCCTCCCAAGCCACTGGGATTACAGGTATGTGCCACCATGCCCAACTTATGTCCTATTTTCTTAAAAGAGAGAGAGAGAGAGAGAGAGAGAGAGAGAGAGAGAGAGAGAGAGAGAGGTGGGGGGGAGAGAGGGGGAGGGGGAAAAGAGAGGGAGGATTGTTTGAAAGGAACAAGAAACAGGAAGTACATACAGTTTAGTATCAATTGCTTGAATGATACTTTGGCCCAGTGAGAGAGCTAACATGATTCTCTTTCTTAAAAATTTTATAGTACTTTCTCCCTATAGTATTCACCTGCCAGTTACACTACCCAATTAGACTTTAAATTCCTCAGTGGCATTAAGAAGCCCCTTGTGTCAGGGCCTTACCCACCTGACAGGTGCTTGGTTGATGAGAAAGAGATGGATGAACTCTTCAGATTATCTAATAGGAAACACAAATCAGTAATGTCCCCCTTTCCTTCCAATCAGAAATCGATAAGCATTAAGCATTTCAAACACTTGTAAAGTAACCACCTTGCTTAGGGGAATATGGACTCAAATTATAAAGAAATACACATGATTTGAAAGATGATTTGGGAGGAAATGACCTATTATGCATAAAAATTGCAAGTGGATTTGAGTTACTTAACACTTATTAAAAGAAACATTAGGTTTAAAAAATATTATTGCAGATGGACTGTCAAATACAAAAATAAATAGACAGTACTCATATTCTTGGTTGAGGGAGAAAATGCTTTTTTACTTTCTTATTTCTTTTTCAAGAATTCTGCCTAATTCCAATAGAGATAAAACTTGGAAGTTTTATTGCATCTAAAAAGTATGCTCATTAAGATTTAAAACATAAAATTAAAGTCATAAGTATCCAGGAAGCTGATGGGTCCTAATGCATTCAAAAGCTAATTTAATGGAGAACTGCAGCCTATAATAAACATAAATAAACTGTACCAATACCATGAGACTAGTGGAATGACTGACATGCAGGACACACTCAATTCATATTTGCTGAATTTACGAATAGATGAGCATATGCAGATTTGTCATGCTACCTTTTCCCCTTTTTTATTAAACCAAGCTACTAACCCTTGAAAGCTTTTCTACAAATACCTTCCAAAGAGAAAAAAGATGACTGGCATTAAAAACAACTTATATGATAACTATGGCTGATAACAATTAATTTAATATTTCAAAATAGCTGAAAGGATTCTGAATACTCCTAACAAAGGAATTGATCAATGCCTGCGGTGACAGATATGCCAATTACCCTGATCTAATGATTATATATCTTATACATGTATTAAAATGCCACACTATACCCCATAAGTAATGTAAAATTACTATGCGTCACTTAAAAAATTTTTGTATTAATTAAAAACAACTCCTCTGATCTATACTCAACATACATGAAGGTGAGAGCACTTAGATTGCTCCAGTGAATTCTAAGGATTTTTTTCTTTATCATTTAAAATCATAAACCATATAGGATATCTTAACAGCATATGGCCAAGTTTATGTGATCATCTGAGAATAATTCAGTTCCATAAAAAATGCAAATTTAACAGTAGTGTGTTAATTCATGCCAACACTGCTCTCAAGACAATCACCAGGGACCTCCCACATGAAATCAATATGCATACATCTATTTAACTTTTATCACTGGCTCACTAAGTAAATATCACACTATAGTCCACTTAGGTATTCATTATTCAGGCAAATATCAAACATAAAAAGCAGGCTGGTGGTGTCAAGTTGTTAACAAATCAATCGATAGCTGTTCCCTGGTTTTAGTCTACCAAATGAGGGCAGATATGTGCAACATCTGGAGAGCAAACTATTAATCTGCTGCCAAGGTGCAGTCTGTTTGCAGCAGAGGATTCCACATTAATGCTGACTCTGAGGAACCCTCTCAAGGAAATCATCAGGCATATCATGTTTTCTCCTGCTTTCATAGCATTAAAACAGATATGTCCTTTGATATCCCTGAGATCTTCAAGGACCGCACTGGGGGATGCCACGCTTTTGCTCCCCACCTTGTCTAAAATTGAGGCAGAACTCAAAAACATTTGAGTGCACCATATGATGGGGAGCAAATGGCTGAATATTCAAAGCATCCACTTTTATTGCTTTCAAAGCAAGATTTTTGGCATTTTTTAGGAATCATATATATTCACAAGCAGTTAATCCCCCAAAGTGGCCAAGAATGTCCCCAGTTTTGTGAAGAACTTGGATTGCTCTTGACACCACAGTCATGGGACTGTCACTTCCTCTATATTAATCTCAAAATGAGCACTGCTCTTGTCTCTTTCAGGTTATAGACAACCGCTACATTGCATCTCAGGCTATTTACCCACCTTGTCAGCCAAGAGACAGTGAAAATAAAATGAAGAAGAGAAAGTTCAGTCACTAGAATAAAGTTAAGCTTCATGACTGCTTCCTCAATCTACACATGATAAAAACTACTGCCTACAGAGGGGCAGCAATGATAACAACAAAGCTCAAACCTTTTATTTTCATGCATTCCAAAAACCAACAGCAAAGATTCTGCTGAGGTTGTGGCTCAGTGGTAGAGCGCTTGCCTAGCACGTGTGAAGCACTGGGTTTGATCCTCAGAACCACATTAAAAATAAATAAATAAATAAATGAAAGAAACAAAGGCATTGTGTCATCTACAACTTTTTTTTTTTTTTTTTAAAAAGAGTACCCAAAGCAATGTAAATGTTGTATTACATTGTAAATGATCCAATAATTATAATTATGAAAATTGAAGAAAATCTCAGGTCTTGACATAAAAAGTCCTTCCCACTATCAGCACAAGAGTGGGGGATGTGAATCCCCTTCTCTCCTCTCACTCACATCTGCGGCAGATCTATGGGGAAAGCGTGACTATTTGTTGTCAATTGTAGAAGTTAACATTGGCAACGCACACACATCCCTGCTGGAAGCAAGTCGTGCTGGTTTTTAAATGAAGCTACACTATATTTACTTACCCTCCTGTCTTACTTCCTGGGTGGAAGGTTTAATTAATACTTCACCCAGAAACAATCCGCACAAGAAATAGTTTTACCAGGAACAAAAGTCATAATAGAAATCTGCTCTTCCTGTGATGGGCGGTTTTCTTGCTGTGTTTTCTTTATCTTCCATGGAAATCTTGCCTCCTCCTTTCTGTCCCAGTGATGAATGTGGAGTCAATGAAATGATTCACAAAGAACAATAACAACAAAAAGTGGGAAATATTTTTTTTTTCTATCTATGACGCTCAGTGCACAACATGATTCCACAGCTAAACTAAAGCACACTCTTGTTACCCAAGCACACTGCACTGCTCATGGCCATTACATTTTTCTTTTCAACTGAGTTAACGGCTAAGTTGCAACATATGGGGCTTGCGCCACCCCCAGCACCCGGACAGAAACCGCACCCCTCTTCCCACAGACTCATAGTTCTTCCTCACATCTTACCCTGCCCAAGAGGTTGTCCTGAAGCAGTGTCTGTTGCAGTACCGGGCCAACCTCCTCCAAGCTTAGCATGTGGCAAAGGTCAGTGAGTTCTTCCTGTCCAAGGGACCCGGTTCCTGTCGTGTCAAAACTGTCAAACAGCTCCTTGAGTCGGGCCTCATGCTGGTCCTGCTCCACCTCATCCATCCCATAGCCCACAGCGCTCACCTGTGTAAGACAGAGACAAGGACAGATTGGGGCAGGTCAGTCCTTGGTGCACCAATCTCTCCTGGCACCACTAGCTGCTTGGGAACACTCTTCTATGTATGACATTCTATTTCTGACACAACCCATGGCAAGTCCAGGACCCCATTTTGGCCGTTAAAGCTCCCATGCACACTCACACCAGGGGTACCTCTTGATCACACTGGGGGTGACATTACCAGGAGGAGCAGGTCATGTAGGCAGAGAGACACCCTCTTCTCCTTCCTGCTCCTTAGGTGGATGTCCGGTTTATCAAATTCAAACCCACGAGTGGTTCTCTCCCTATCAGTTCATCTGGTCAAGACTTAAAGAAGGTGAAAGGCCGCTTCTGACAGCCAGTCCAGTGAAATGAGCCAACTGTTAGCACCACCCAACTGTGCAAGCCAGAGCCTCCACACAAGTCTGCATGCTCCACACAACCTGCCCAGATGCTAGGATCTGGCAGTGTGGCCAAGCTGATTAGTTCCACTTCGTTCAGCCTAGATGCTGCCCATAATAGTTACAAGAGACACTGGCTGAACATGTTTGCTACCAAACCATGTCCCTGTTTACATGAGACCAGATGCCTTTTACATGAGAGCTTCACAAAGCAACTCAATTAACTTTGTTGGTGCAATTACATGAAGTGTGACAGGAAGAATATTCCCTGAAGCTCACCATAGTCCCAGGGAGCTTTAGGTAATGCTTAGTTGCCTAGAGAAAGGGGAAAACACCACTCCAACCCTTGTGACAGAAAGGTTTGAAAGGAGTCACAGACTGGCTTCTGTGAATCAGAGACTCTTAGGGAACCAGAACTCTCTGGAGCTCCCCTTTATGCCTGGTTAACCTGTCTTGCATCTCTGTCTCACCCCAACCCCAGGGCTTTCCATTTTGCCACTTTCCCTAAGATTGGTCAAATACTTAGAGTTATCAATAGCTCTGAGTCATATTTTTGCTAAAAATATACATCATAAAATTCTAAGAACTTCATGCTTTAAAATAGGTTGGTTTTTTTTTTCTTGCGCAATTATTCATTTCTAATGTGCTAGGTCTTTTGATGCAAGCCTGAAGCCTGAACATCTGGAGGAAACTTCACTATGATGTAATGGATGCCAAATACAACACATACCCTTGAGACAGTGATCTCAGCCACAGACATCAAGCTCTCAGCCTAGGGGCTGGGGTATAACTCAGCAGTAGAACATGTGTTTAGCCCTGGGTTTAATCCCCAGCACTGCTATCCATCTCCAACAACAAAGGCAGCATCTTCAACTAAACCAAGCACTGGGTCAGAAAATACTCTGAATTAGAGGTGATGTTCCATAGAGAAAATCATTATTACCTGGGGAAGAGGTAAGCTAGCATGTTGAACAGAGCCAGTAATGAAGATAAAAGAGCTTTCTGTAGCAAACCAGTGCTTCTCTCAGCTGTGTCTGCTGTGTGTTCATAAACAACTTTACAACATGACAAGCCCAAATAGTTCCACGACCTTAACAAAATTAGGTGGATTCAGAAGAAGAGTCCTGATCAGCTCTGCCATACAACTCAATTTTTATGAGGACCACTCATTAAAACAACATGCCATGGTTTGGGTCCAAGTCCCTGTTCTTGAGGAGGTCTCCTCTCCTATTAGCAGTTTCCCATTACTAAGGTGCTGTTGGCTCTGGCTGTCTTCCCAGGGTTGGTCTGTTGGGTTAACTAATCACTATGCAAATATTTTCAAAATAAGTTGAGAGTGCTATATAAACATCAAAGCATCAGAAAAGGAACACAAAGGTGTTATGCAAAGTCACAAGAGGTAGGAATTTAGACAAGGCCAAGGCTTGGCTAATGAGATTCACTCAGTGTCTGCCAGTTAATTGTCAACCAAGATTTGCTGAGATTCCCCAAAGTGCTCTGGGATTTTTGGCGTTGCTATGGCTCTCAGGCTCAGTCTGAGGCTTACAGTCCCCTGGGTTGTAATCTGATCACCTTCAGAAAAGACAGACATTCTACCTTTGCTTGATTTTGCATAATATTTAAAAGCTCAAAAGTGAAAAAAAAAAAAGTTCTAATACTTCCTCTTTTTAAAATTATTTTTAAGGTGCAGCAATTTATCCATCTAAGTCAATGAAGGAGAGCAGTAGAACTCACAATACACTGAAAAGTCCTAATCTGATGTGCTGCTTTGAATTTTTCTTTCTTTTCTTTTTTAATACTGGGGATTAGCCAGGTGTGGTGGCCCATGACTGTAATCCCAGTGGCTCAGGAGGCTGAGGCAGGAGGATTGCCAAGTTCAAAGCCAGCCTCAGCAAAATCGAGGCACTAAGCAACTCAGTGAGACCCCGTCTCTAAATAAAATCCAAAGTAGGGCTGGGGATGTAAAGTGCTCCTGAGTTCAATCCCACACACACACTACTTCTATATCTATATCTATCTCTATATAGAGAAATGGGATGTAACTCATTAGAAAAGCTCTCCTAGTTTAATCCCATCTATAGTTATAGATATACTTATATAGAAATAGATGGGATTAAACCAGAGGAGCTTTACCACTGAGTTACATCCCATCTCTTTTTGCTTCTTGAGACAGGGGTCTCACTAAGTTGCTTAGCCTGAGCCTCAAACTACTGAGGCTGACCTCAAACTTGTAATCTTCCTGCCTCAGCCTCCAGAGTTGCTGGGATTATAGGCATGCAACTGGCCTGCTGCTTTGAATTTAATAAACTATTATGCCCCACTCTGGGGAGATCACTGAACTTTGCTAAATTGAACTTCTTTTGTTTTGTAGCAGCCTTCCTTTCTTATGTTTCCATCTCCCTCCTTCCTAAGATACCAAGCTTAGGAAAACATTCTTTGGACTGAAGGGGGGGAAGGCCCCACCCCTGTGAAACAAATGCTCACAATAAAACATCCAGGAGCTGCTATGCATGGTGACAAGCTGCAAGCACTCATCTGGCACAGAATGTATTTTTTTCTGGTTGATATTATTCTCCAAATGTTCATCAGCAATTTCATGTGCAAGAATTTTTGTTTTCCTCCCCACTTAGCAGAAAGTTCCTTAAGAGTAAGGTCCAAACCTTCTATTTCTTTTATGCCTTCCCTCAAACTGTTCTTCAGGCCAGGGACTTGATCAACCTCATGTACTGACTTACTACATGGACATTCCTTGAGAGGAGACTTACCCTGAATGGGGAGATGTAGGAACAAGCATAGGAAAAATTTGAAATACCTATTTCTTCCACACATACACCTCCACTTCCCTCTTCCAGTTCTTTTTTAAGGGCATTTTTAGTCTTGAACATACTAAGCAGAAGTACAGAGTCAGCAGTGACTACCAAACCACTCTATATAAAGCCATCTGAAGCTTAGTTCAATGGGTTAGTAATTAAGCGAATGGATTCACAAACTGCAGCTACATTTTGTTGTTGTTATGGGATAAAACTTTGGAGAAAAATCTGTACTAAAACACTTTCTCAGGTCTTCTCATTTATCCAATGAGAATAACAATACCCCTCTGGAGGGTTGTTCTGAAGGTTAAATATGGCAAGCAGTGAGAATGGCTTATCCCAGAGAAAGGTGATATAAGAGGGGAACTGAAAAACAACCAAGAAAACACCCAAGTCTCACAAAGGAGGCACAAACTTAGGTGAGTAACTTAAGTCAATCAGTCATAAATCTACCTTCAAAGAAGCAAAGCAGGAAGTGTGGAAAGTCATAGAACAGAGCTTTAGAGCAGGCATTGAATGTATTATGCATATAAACAGCATTATATTTCTAAATGATAATGGCAGCAGGTAATGTTCATGCTTCCTCAATCTTCAAAGGAAGATTATTGATCATTTAACATCAAATAAAAGCAGAGAGGCTGAAATGTAGCTGAGAATTCAGAAGAATTTATTATAATTATTGTTGCTGTGATTAATCTCTGAGCATTCACTATGAGCTGGCCTATGCTAAGCGTTTCAAGTTTATCATCTTATTTAATACCCTCCCCACCACCCCCATTCTTCAAAGCAGAATCCCCATTTAAGGTATTAAAACTTGGGGCTTGGCAAAATTAAGCAATTTGTTCAAGGATACAGAACTAACATAGGGGTAGAGCTGAACTTAAAATCTGGTATGGCAATAAATTATCCTCCAATGCACAAAGAACACATGAACGGGACCACACTTGGAATGATACCACTGACAAACTTAACCTCCACCTTTATGTGTCAGCCAGCTGAACAGTACTCAGTATGAGAAGCCACCATGGAATACTCCCTGGCCACAAATTTTTCCAAATTAGAATGGGAAGAAGTGAAATCCTTACCTGCTCCCTCCCTTGAACCCTTTACTGAATGAGTACAGGCTGCAAGGCTCTTGGGATACATAGATAGAATAAGCATGCTTTTTTCCTAATGCACCTTTGGGATTTGGGCATGGAAAAAATACATTTTTATATAGAATGATCATAAAGAGTCTCATCATCAATATGGGCATAGCTGAGGAAATGATAATTGTTCAATTAATCTTCCCAAATAAATACTTAAGTATACAATCTAGTGCACTCCAGAGCCAAAGCCTAACTGGCATCCATCAGTGGCAGGAATCTTAGAGATTTAAAAAGTTGGGCTCGAGTGGTAAATCCTTCAAATTGCAAAGAACAATTCCAATTTTATGAAACCTGCCATAAACCTAAGCCTTTCCTCACCAAGGACCTTCCCAATCATGTGGTTTGGGACCTTTATGATTCTTTTGGAATAAAAGGGCCAGGGTGGATAATATTTAGGAGTTCTAACTAGGGATAGTTAAATAAGAGGCAGATGCACAGAATCATTAATCAAAACATTTACCACCCAATAACCAGCTATAACGACAATTGTTCAGAACATCTTTCTTCCAAAATAATTCAAAATAAGGCTGCCAAAATGCTGCAGACTCTGACAGGGATGTCCATTACAGATCTGCATTGTTGTGCTCCACTTGGCTGCCCTTGCTGATGGAATTACAGGACCAACTGAGACTGCAAAAGGAATAGGTGGAGGTGTGGCAGGAATAATGGAGTGCAGACACAAGGCCAGGATGAAGTGCTTATGTGAACTTATGAACTTTCCAGCATCTGAGGTACAGAAAGGAGCTTGAATGAATGGTACCCCAGCCAACAGGGACGTCTGTTCTGGGCTGGAGGGAGTGAAAAGAAGACAAAGTCTAGCAAGTGAAACCCAAATAATAAATAAGCACAATGCCAGAGCCCCTAGCCCAGGCCTTTGATTTCCCCTCCAGATGGTCCAGCAGCTGAACAGCTCTGTGGAATGTCTGGATGCCCCTCTCGGCTCAGCCGCTCTCCCTTCTAGGACATCATAATAGATGCTTTCGGACCTGTGTTCAGACATAGCTGTTGGGGGTCCACAGACTGAGCAGTGACCACCGAGTGACTAATTAAGTTACTTGGGGACTGAAGTGATGAACACAGACAAACTGCTTGGGGAGCCTTTTCATTTAGGCCTTTAGCTTTCACCCTGTGGCAAGTCAGCCTAATAATGCCCATGATCAAATTGCAATGTTTCTTTCTCTTCTGCAAACTCTTTAATCTGTTACAAAGATTTCCAGGCTTACTATTTTGGACTAATTTCAGCATGAAAGGAAATAGTGATGAGAATAAATTCAAGTTTAGCAAAAAACTCAACAACAACCAAAAAAAGCTATCGCTCCTATTTGCATATTCATTAGGAGAACCCTTCAGTCCAAAAACTATGGCTGTTCAGCAGCAAACCAATCACAATCAGCCTCCTCTCTGCTCAAATAGCCCCTCACACCAGGCTGGTTACCAAAAGCAACATGGTGCTACCAGGAATAAAACTGTGGTATAAAAATATACCATAAAAATGTAAGTGCCACTACACAGGAAAAAGCAACATTTAAATAAATCTGAAAGAAAACAATAATCTGTGCTAAATATACTATAAAATTTTATTGAACTAAGGGTGTCCTATTAGCACTTATCCCAAATCATAAACAAGCTTTAGTATTTTACCACCCTGAAGGTTACAGCAAACCAGGCTTTTGTTAAATCTAACAGCAGGTGGATTACCCAATCAAGTAGTTAACTCAGGGCAGTAGATGGGAAAAAAACATCAGCTTAGCACAAGGTAGATCCAATAACCTATAATCAACTACTAAGTAAAATTATGGGAGCAGAAAACAGAGTTGCACATTGACTACTTCTTTTCTAAAAGAGAAAGCTTATAACAATTTTCAATTCTTGAGCCATATTTACTCAAATTAATTTAGGATGCCTAAATCTATGAGTACAGTTCCCTGGGGTATAAGTGAAGTGCTTCTATTCTCACATCCATAAATAATATTTTCCCAACTTTGTATTTTAAGTGAGCTTTTAGGTACAGATGGCTTTGCAGTATTTTTTTTTCCATCCAAAAGCTTGAATAAGTGCTGCTACAAATAATAATAATAAAAATACTAATCTCAATGTTGCTGACTTGTATAATCCCATAATCTTTTCAAAATTCTATCTTATTTGTAAGTGGGATAAAAATATCATTTTGCAAGGTTCAGTAAGTCTCCCCACAAGCTTCTGCCCAACAGATGCAAGATCAATAGCCAGAATTCAAACTGCATTATTTATTGGCTTACAAATGAATTGGCATCTACAAAAATAAGCCTTCTGAAAAGGCTCTGGGCTATCTGAATCCCTCTAAAATGCTTCTGGCTAAACTTGCCAAGCCTTTATCAGTGTAAGACCGATAAAATGTATTTCCATTACCAACATAAAATGGAAGCATCAAGATTGGTGAAATGTTAGTTTAGAAAATCATTTTCAGTGACATTTAAAACAATTTATTTGAACAACATTTGATTCATGATAAGAACATTGCCTATTAAATGAAGATTGGCTGTTCAGAATTCATTGGAGCCAGATTCTCCCCCTGTGTGAGTTAACATCTTTTGATATTAAGGGTCATTACATATCTAAAATGAAAAAATAAGAAAAAAGAAGCCCATGTCATTCTGGGCAAGTGCCTATTAAAATGACTGATCCTTGACATTTTAATGTAAAGTCCATGCTGATGAAGGCTTCTTCTCTATTGCCCCAGTAAAACCTCTCCCTGTCTTGGCAAGGTCTTTGCTTAAGTACAACTCATTTGCTTTATCTACATTGCAGTTCAGGATGCTTCCCTCTAAAGAAGCACCAGATTACAGGTGAAAATAAACAAGTCTGCAAACAACCCTCCATCCCAGCAGTTCTCATCACCTCCCAAAGAGGAACACTGACAACAGTTGAAGAAAACACACAAACTCATTTTCAGTCATCCTGCAATGTTACTCTTACAACCTGGGAATTTCACAGCTACTTTCAATTCAGAGCAAGATCTACCAATATTCCAGGTAGGCCACCAATATAAAATGCTACAACTCAGGCTGGGGTTGTGGCTCAGTGGTAGCATGCTAGCCTAGCACATGTGAGGCACTGGGTTCGGTCCTCAGCACCACATAAAAATGAAATAAAGAATGTGTGTCCATCTACAACTAAAAAATAAATATAAAAAGAGTAAAATGCTACAACTAGAGAAGAAACAAGATAAAACTATGCTGGCAGAAAACAAAATGTATTTCCTGTAGATCATTAAGCCTTAGGAAGTATGTAATCACATACAAATTCATGTATGAATTTGAAAAGAAATCTTCCATGGTCCTAGGAGCCTATCTTATGTGCCCTTATGGACTTTAATCAGGATTCTTATCCTAAAACTACCTTGACACTCACAAAGACAACTATCAATCTGCTTTTATTATTAGTAAACTCAAGAACTGAGTTGTAGGACAAGCCCATCTCAGTAATTCCCCAACACCAGGAGGGAATCTGTCCCAGTGAAGTGGAGAGCTGAAGACCTCATAATAACTAAGTTGTCTAGAAACATGACATAAGGTAGAACAATAGTTTCAGCTCCCATTTTATTCGCACCTTAACCATGGCTCATCAGGTCAGAGACTAGGAAAATTGCCCCTTTCAGTCTCTCTTTCAAATTCGGGGTGGGGTGGGGGGTGGGGTGGGGGCTTTAAGCAGTAACTCTTTCCATCAGCTTTGTCCTTTTGTGGGGGCCGGTTTAGTAGCTGTAGAGTTCAGCTGGAACCCTGGAAGCTTCCTCCCCTGACGTTCCTCACTTTCATTAGACACTTCGATTTCTCTGCTCTGGTGACTTGTCACTGTAGTCGTTTCCCCCTTTCCTAGTAATTGTATTGGGAAAGTCTCTACATGTATTGATCCTACACACCTAAAATCTCCACTTTAAAGGCTCCAAATAGCTGTGCGCTACACAAACAGCACAGGCTAACATCTCGGAGTACCCCACGCAGCTTTCTCTTCAGCTTCTCAATCACAGGGCTGCCTGGGCGGCACATACCAACAGAACAGCAACCCTTTCTGCTGCTTCTGGGACTCAAATCTGCTGCCTGGACCAATAGACAGTAGCAGCTTTCAGCTCCAGGCTTGCGGCTGGAGCCAAGAGGGTGGCAGAGGCGCTGCAGGTCTGGGAGGCTGAGGTGCGGCCAGAGGGCAGGCGCGCCGCCTAGGTCCCTGGCAACCCGCAACGCGTCCCCGACCCACCTGTCCATCGCCACCACCAGAAGCCTGAGACACTCCATTGTGTCACCAGGCAGCACGCTCTCTCGGCCCCCGCCGCCCTCGCCTACCTTCTGTCGGCCTCTCCGGAGCGCCCGCACACCCGGCTGCCTGCCTCCAGTGCTCTGCAAAGCGAAGGAGGGCGCTTTGTTAGGGTTCAAGAAGCCGGACAATACTTCGCAGCCGGCGCCGCGGTTCCGGACGGGCGTCCTTCAAAAGGACGCGAATGGGGACCCGCGCGAGCGTCATTTCCATATGTAAGGGGCCAGCTCTTACAAAAGCGCTGCGATCGGGGGCCGCGGGCTGCCGCGCATCCTCCCCGCCCGCCGGCCCGCCCCCCGCGAGCGCAGCCCGCTCCTCCTGCACGGCCCCTCCTCTCTGCCGCCAAAGCCGCCCCCTCCCCGCCTGGTCCCAAGGAGCCCCTGGGCCGGGGCCGCCAGTCCAGTCCCCGCTTCCTCCAGGCCCGCGGGGTCAGCGCGCGCCCTGACCCCTGGTTCAGAAGGGGAGCCCCAGGGGGTTTCAGTGCACATTCTGTCCCTGGTGCTCAGGGCCTCGCCGACGGCGCGCGGGCAGCGCAAGGCCTCCCCGCACCCTCAGGCCGGGGGGTCGGGGGACTCTGGAGCTGGGCTCCTTGCTTACCGCGTCCCGGGGCTCAGGCTCCCGGCGCTACCGCGGAGAGCATGGCCGCGGGCGCACTCGGGGCTCGGCGAGGGCGGCAGCGGGACGGCCGCGCCCAGCGCGCTCAGCTCCCGGCTCGGCCTCAGCCACCCAGAGCTTTGGACGCCCGGGAGGAAGAGCAGGGCCCGCGCGGGGAGGAGGAGTCAGGGCGACGCCGACCCGGGCGCGGCTCCTCCTCCGCGGCCCGCGCGGCTCCTGCAGCCGAGGGAGGAGCGGGTGGCGCTGTCTGGGCCCTCGCGGACGAGTGACCCTTCTGAGCCTCAGCCACGGAGATTTGAACTTGGAAACGCCAGGGCTCAGGGTGCGGGCGGAGGTTGCCCAGGAGCTGGCACGTCCGCCTCTCCGCCTCCAGCCTGCCAGCCACCCTTTCCTTCCAAACGTTCCCACACGCACCCGGCGACTAGGACACCCTGCAGACAGCGTCTGCAGCCTGTGCGACCTTACACTGTGAATTCAGGTGCCACTTTTGCCCGCAAGTGGCCTGGCTTTCCCAGCTCTGGGGAGGCCCCTCGCTATCAGGGGAAGAGGGGTCTAGGAGGCAGAGACCTCCGGGCTTGACTCTGAATCCTACGAACCTCTAGATGGCATCAACACCTGCCCATGGCATCCTCATGGGTTCCTGCGGCCTGTGCAGCCCCTCTGCCGCCTGTGCAGCCCCAAACCTAGGTCACAACCAAGCAGAACAGAAACTCTGGAGTTGGTGGTCCCAGAGCCTCACCCCCTTGCATCCGTACTCTACACGCCCCGCCAAAGTAATGGTTTTCGCACTCTCCGCGTACCTATTCTCTCCTCTGATCTCAGTGCAGACAGGATCTCAAGTCTAGGCTAGAGGTGGCAGTAGCTGTGGGCCCCAAGCAGCACCCATGGTTCTTGAGCTGCAGGGTTAAAAGTGCTGCCCTTGGAGAAGGATCCGCCTGACTTATTACTTCCCACAGTCTGATTATTTCAGCAAGAAAACGGGAGCAAACCCTTTGCTACTAAGGGAAAGAGCAGCAGCAAGAACAAGACAGGAAGGAAATCAGCATTTATTGAGAATCCAGTGTGTTGAAGACGCAACAGATTTTTTTTTTTTTTACCTAATCCTCCCACCAACAATCCTGAGGAGGCAGACATTATAGCATTTAATATATGAGGAAACTGGGTCTCCCAGATGTCAAAAGAGCTTTTCTGTGATCACAAAGAAAATACTTAATAGAGCTGACGTTCAAAAGCAGATCACACAAAAATGCAGAGAACTAAAAGTATACACAAATGAGAGCCTGTAAAACCAGTCAAATTTAAATAAGATCTGATTGTTTATGTTGATTTCCTCATTGTGATACTGTATAACAGTTATACAAAATTTTACCACTGGAAAAAAAATAGGGTTAAGTACTTAGAGGATCTCTGTATTTTTTCTTCCAACTTAGGTGAGTCTACAGTTATCTTGAAATTTAAAAAATATGAAGCAGATCAGTTATTTTAAAACCCAGTGTCTCTTCCTTCAATACAATGGGCCTGGGGAGTAAGAGGAAGCTCTTGGATCTCTTTGAACACTCTTGGATAAACACACAAATAATCATATATTGTAAGCATAGTTGTTTAGTTATACAACAAACATGCACACACATGTGCATGCACACGCACACAAACATACACACACACACACCATCCATTAATCTGTTACCGGAATACTTACATAGATGTCATCCTATAAATAAGAGAATAATGCTCACTGGGCACTCAAACAGACTTAGAAGGTAAGGATGAAGAGGTGGCTTCTTTGTTTTGCTCAATCTCTGCCATGGCAGCCTTGTCCTACTGGATCTCTCTCCAAGCATCCCTTTTTAACCTGCAAGAATCCCTAAGGATGAGATAGCTCATTAGTTTAAAGCACTGATTCTTGGGCCCAGGAGATAATTGGAGGTGATATTGGCTCCTTGTGGAGGGAGATCAGAATTGCTGGGGGTGGGGTGGGGAAGATGTTGTAATTAGAAAAACACAAGACATACTTTCTTGAGAGGAGCAAATTGGGTGGAGTTAGTGGGGGGGGGGGGGGGGGGGGGGGGGG